AAATTGAACAGGTGTTCCTAATAATCCTTTAGGTGAGTGTAATTCTGAAATGAGAAAGAAATAAAATTCTCAGGAGATCAGTTTTAGCACACAGAAGAACTATTAATGTGCTATTATATTATATTATATTATCCATCCATCCATTGTCCAACCCGGTCATCCTACTGGGTCGTGGGGGTCCGGAGCCTATCCCAGAAGCACGAGGCAGGGAACAACCCTGGATGGGGGGCCAAATACTCACACACGATTCACTCACACATGCACACCTACGGGCAATTGAGTAACTCCAATTAGCCTCAGCATGTCTTTGGACTGTGGGGGGAAACCGGAGCACCCGGAGGAAACCCCACGATGACACGGAGAGAACATGCAAACTCCACACACATGTAACCCAGGCAGAGACTCGAACCCAGGTCCCAGAGGTGCGAGGCAACAGCCTTGCCGCCCCATTATATTATATTATATTATATATCTTACAAACATCATCAAGTGGAGGGCTTAGTATATTATCAGTTTCTCTCCCTAAATGATCAATAGATGTGTTACAATAAGCATTTATGGGGGACGATGATAAATTTACTGGTTTAAATTCCTTAAACTATTCACACTAAGGGCAATTTACTGAAGTACAGAGAGAGAGAGAGAGAGAGAGAGAAAGAGAGAGAGAGAGAGAGAGAGAGAGAGAGAGAGAGAGAGAGATACTCATATCTTTGTGGGGACCTTCCATTCATTTCTATGGGCAAATCCCTAATCCCAACAATAACAACCTTAACCTTAGTCAGTCACAGATTTTTATTAAATTGAATTTCCCCTTCTGGGCACCAAAAAATGGTCCCCACAACTTCAGAATAACAGATTTTTATCACATTGTGGAGACATTTGGTCCCCACAACGTAATGTATACCTGGACCATACAAAACACACACACACACACATAAATCCTTGATATATAGGATGATTCATAACAGGTTTGTGTACTTTGGCTGGGTTACATTTAAGATACTGTCAGCAAACATAAATTATCGTGATTAGATGGATCAAATAAATCATACAATAACACAGCATTGGAAATGAAAACCTGTGAAAGTCTTTGCTGAAAAATATCGCTAAAATGTTTAATTCACAAATATACAGAGAAGAATTGAAACCATATGGTCACAAGCACAGACTGTTTCCATGATTACACCTGGTTGCAGATTAAGTAGGCCTACATAGGCAGCAGTAAAGGATTTAATTGCAGTGCGTTCAAAAGAGAAAAAAAAAAAACTAAAGGCTTAAAAAAACTAACATATTAGTATCAAGAATTCACAGAGAGAACAATTGGCTCAGTTTTATAGAAAATAATAATTTGTCACCAATAGAGATAGGTACATATATTTAGGTGATGACTAGGTGATAATCAGGCAGCTTAATTTTAATATTGTTTGTTCATGAACAAATTCATTACAATCTAAAAAAAATATTTGGCATCACGAAAGCACCGAACCAATTGAAACACGACATATTAGCAATTTCCGGTTACGTGCGCGACTTTTCCGGCCTAGTTTCATGCCCGAAGTTACGCCCATGAAGGTCAGCCCCTCCCGCCAGCCTGCACTCCTCGCGTCTTACGTAAGCACGTCCTATGGCGTCATCGTGGGAGTGCTCCATCAGACGATATGACCACTCTTCGGCACAGTCTACGGCGCTTCTGTAAGTGTTTATTTTAAAAAAAAAAAAGAATGCCAGGTTTTCACTAACGCACGTGAAGTAAACATGTAGCTCACTCTCGCTGCATAGTTTATATGGAAGCCGGGTGTCAGTGTCGGATTTATATGTGTAACGTAGGCAGTTTTATAAGTGTAGGCGCCACCTTGCTATCGAGCTAGCGTGTTAGAAATCACGGGCTCAACTTGTGTGCGTGTGTCTCAGCCGGTGCTATGCACATAGTTCAACATGATGGAAAGGAAGATTCGTGTGCGCTGGCATTTCCCACGGAAGCCTTTCACATTTTGGGCGCGGATTGCATCTCAGGTTTAAGCTGTCAGTTGATGTAATATCTGTGTTAGGAAACGATGCTGTGTCCTGTGCGTATTGCCACAGGCAGCCTGCATTTCTAGCTGTATAGATGACTGCATGGCCAGTATCCCCCCTCAAAAAAAAAAAAAAAAAAAAAAAAAAAAACAGCTGTAAGAAAAACACTGATTATGGATACAGCTGAGAAACTCCAGATTACCGTCCTGTATTGTTATAGTTATGATATGAATCTCAGTAGTTTGTTCTTTAGATGGGTGACATTCCAGCTAGTACTGTAACGTGTATCATGCTCCCATGCTTTTTACTGCTTGGTGTATTTAATGTTACGCAGTGGATGGAGTTTCAGTGAAAGTGATAAACCAAATCTACACGAAAACGCGCAATTTGCCACATATTGAAAATTAATATTTTGTGTATTCGGGAATGGCAACTTATCCATGTTAACCATTCTGTTTAAATACAGTGCATTCAGACGTGAACTTAAGTTCATTTTGCATTTCATTCACGAAACATAGGAGAGTGACAATAGTTTTTCCCAAAATTCCCGAGTGAATGACCCAGATAACGTTAAACAGTGTGTGTACACGTTGGACTCTATTCAGTGTGCGCTGAATTAGACATTGTAACTGTGAAATGATGAATTAAGCACGGAAAAACGGCCAAAGACTGCCGGCGCGATCCTCTGTGCAAATGACAATGAGCACCGCGAACAAGGCAGCCTTGTTTTTCATTTTGTTACGTGCCTCTTATTACAAAATACAATGACAACGCTGTTTGGGCTCCTGGCAGTACATTTTTATCGTATTATCGATCACTGCACGTTTTTTTTTTCAGTAAAAAATAAAAGGAGTTGGCATACCTTCGGACTGAAAACGGTCGCCCTTGCTGGCAAAGACCAGCCGATTAAACTAAATGCTCGATACTGAGGTATGTATAATACGTGCTTTTTTTAACTTCGGAAAAGGAGGAATCAAGTTTTGCGATTACTCAGGAAGACAGAGCGTGACAGGTGTGTTTTAAATTTTGATCTTATTGCCTTTTCAGGCGATAAGTTTATCAGTGTGCTTCATTTCACAATACAGAAACAAGCCGGGTGGCACTCAGCAGCTTGTGTCTTGAATGTCAGTTCATTTGTGTTATTAAAAAAATGTACCTGCGTGGGTAAAAAGCACATTATCTTGTGCATTTGCATTTGAGGACATGAATGTGGAAACACTGATGAATCGCCTACATTTTGCCTGTAAGTTACTTTTCTTGTAAGAATATTCAACTCATATTTTCCGTAATAAAGTACATCCTACAAATTTTACAGACGTACTGCAAATTTTTGCATTTCATAGAGAAATGATTGTCGGCATGGTATTTCTGACAATTCTTCGGCGATGTAACAAAAATAACCTTCTTGCGATTTAGCAACTTGTGTCTGTTTCAGGTGCCCTGTGATTGAGGGCACATTTCGGCTTTGAGTAGCATGCCTTAAATTATTTACTGTTTCATTGATAAGAACTGAGTAATACTTCCTGCAGTAACGGTGAGACCGAAGTAAAGCAGGTTCTCTCTGTGGTCTATGCTTACTCTTGGGTTCTAAGGCTGACTGTGCTCCACATTCTTCACTTCACTGTTGGCATGTGGTGTTGCATCATTGACTCTGTTGTATGTCGAGTGTGTTAATTGCCTGTGGGACTGTACTTCCTGGGCCGGCCTTGTGTTTCTGAAGGTCCACCCCCGCCTGGGACCTTGTGCCCCTTTGGTCCCACGGTCCCTGGTCTGTTTCTGTGATAATGGCCGCATTGAGCTCACAGCCGTCCTGACTCATTCCTTTGAGGTGAGCGAGTTTATCAGACTCTTAACAAGTTTGTTATCTGGAGGTGGGAGTGTTAGCTGTGTCTGTCTGCTGTCCGTAGTTTCTTTTTTTCGGAATTGGCATCATTCTCAAGTGAGTAGGAGAGAGAAGAGCCCCGGCACTTGGACCACAGAAATATTACTTAACGTTGTTTCATCCTTTAGACACCACTCTCATGAAATGCAGGCCTCCTGGAATAGGAATCGGACGGTGGTGGGAAACGGTGCTGCTCTCCTGTCTGGAGTTTGTGCGTTTCCATATGAAACCAGGGAAAGAATCCTTGTCCTCCCAGCTATCTTACCCGCAGCTGTGTCACCACATAGTGCCGGGTCCAGTTGCTGAAGGTACTGAAGGCTGTCCTTTTGTGCAGTGTTTTAAAAACAAACAGATTTGTACTCTTTTCAGCTGTGCAGACAGGAATCCCTTTGAAGATACAAACCAATGTCAACTCTTAGGTTCAGTGTAGCAAACAGTAATCAAAGTCAACCAGTACTAAAGTGTAAGCCAATACTGGGTTTGTTCCTGAAGCATTTTGTGGCACCTGTGTTGGAGTGCGTGTGACTTACAGGGGGAGCCCCCCCAGGAATGAGGTTTGCATGGTGCTGCTGTAGTAGCAGGGGGCTCCTCCTGCCAGCTGCTGCCAGTGCCCTGGATGCTGCCAGATGTTGGCCTCATCGCTCCCAAATATGGCATCACTTGTTAAGGCAACCGGCCATCACCTTCACCCGTACGATGTCACCATGGGTTAGTTTCCAGATTAGGATCCTTGGGCTGGGATTGAGAGTGGAAGATTACTGGCTTTTATTGCGGTGACTCAGAAGCTGAGTGCAGGTTTCGTTACCATGTGACTCGTCCCGTCTGATGGCCGCCAATCCAGGAAGTGCATCTTCGTGGGTGAGGATTCCCAAAGGCTCAGGCCGTCAAGTGTAGCATCCAGCAAAGTCAACAGTCAAACCAAACTATTTGTCCCACGGGTAACTAATACAAAAAAACCTATTTTTAAATCTACATTGGTCTGGCTATTGTTGTGCAGTTAAACCTAAAAAGACACCTGGGAATTCTCATTTTCCCCATTCAGGTCCTTTAACTGCAGGTGATTCGTAAATAGAGCACAGTGCGACTGCTAAGCACGTGTGTGTGTCAAGGGAGAGGCGTCAACATGCCGTTGGCTCCGCCCCCCCATGCGTACTCATGGGATGAATGGTGAAGAGGTCCATGGCTTCGTAGATGGTGTCTGTAGTGGCCTCAGAGCCCGCTGCGGTCATGTCCCTGTTTTTAAAGCGCACCGGGTCAGGGTGGGAGTTCCGGGTCATGAAAACGTGCCACGTCGCTGTTGGAGCTGGAAGTCAGTCACCCCGTCTCGGGCGTTGGCCATGAGGGTGTCAGCGGCGCAGGTGAGTGAAATTCCTCCTGTGGGGTTTATTTTGATCTGGCTTGTGTCTCTTCTGCTGGGGGGGGGGGACCATGGCAGAGAGAGGAGAGTCTGAGATTGCTGACTCTGCAGCCCTTACCGATGTCTTTGGCTCTCGTCCACACGGGGAAACTACGTTAAATGAGCATTATTGTGGCAACCTGGAGCACAAGGACTGCTTGTCTGTGTCCTTGTGCTCGATCTAAAGAGGTATGTCTAGTGACGGAGGGAGCAGGCTTCTGTGTGCCGGGACACACACACACACGGTAAACAAGCTGCCCAGGAGGTTCGGATTTTGTCCGTCACACCGCAGGAACTCTGTGCGTCTTTCAGTTCTCCATAGACATAGACAAGTGATATCTGAGAGATCCGGTTCTGGAAAGGAATCTCTCCACGGAAAGCTGGAGGTGCGTTTACAGAAAGCAGGTGAGGTGTCAGACCAGTTTGACAGGGGAATTTCTCTGAAATATTTGTGCTCCTCCCAGTTTGGTTAAATTTTATTGAAAAATTAGCTATGTGTGCTTGTGCGCATGTCTATATTATGAATATAATAGCAGTTTATGGTATTGTTAGTTTCCTTGTTTAATGTAGGTTTTGAAAAGAGGGTGTGGTAACCATGTACTTCCTTCTGGGGGGGGTTGAAATATTAACCCGTTGCTGTTTCCGCTGCCCTTCATCAGAAGTGAGTTCCTTTTCTGTGATCACCACATGGTCTCCATTGCTCTGGTTTCGTGGAGTCCAAATGCGTCTTTCCAGAAGAGACTGTGTCCCGCCCAAATTGTCGTTCTTGCTAAACTGAAGTTCCTGCTCAACTGCTTTCCCCTTTAGCCTCGTACAGAGTGTTCTGGGTGGGGAAAGCTTTCGAAAGCTAACTGCATCTCCGAGAATTACGAGTGTGCTTCTACGAACAGGTGTGTTCCTCGGTCACGGGGTGTTGCTGGCAGATCAGCCCAGGGAGGCTGTTGCTTTTGTCTGGGATGGGGGGGGCGGTAACGGACAAGGATGAAAAGGTCTCACACGTTGTGTGAAAGTCACGTCGTATCCAATGTTTGGGTTCCATTGGGGGGAGCAGGATTGCCCTTGTTTATGTGTGTTATAAAATACGTATGAAACGTGGGGAGGCAGTGAGTGGAGGAATTATTGGGGGAAGGAGCAGGAGGAGGCTGACATCCTGGTGGAACAGGTGGGTCTCTGGAATCCGCGTGAACGTGTCACATGGTCGCCAGTGAGTTGAAGTGGGTGCGGGATATTGACCAGTGACAGATGAGATGAGATGGCCCCCTTGCTGTGTGTCCAGTGGGTGGAGCTTAAGGCACAGTGATACTGATACACTCCCACCCCTTTTTCCTCTCTACAGGTGACCGCTTGCAGTGAGTCCAGCCGGGCCCAGTGAGGCCGATGGTAGGTGCCATTTCCCTCTTCTCTCTCCTTAAGGACTCCCCCCTGCCCCTCCCCCCCGGACCCTGCTTTGCACCCCATAATCTTCCACTGACCCCCCCGTAACAGGCTTGAATAGTCTCCATCATTCACCCTCAGGTTTGGTTGTGTCAGCCTTAGGGCTGTCGCAATCGTGACGTACAATCGCAGTGTAATCGCAGTTATATGGCGCTTGCACAATCATCACCGAGGGCTTTAGATGATGGGTGACACGTTTGTCCGGACACCGGCTTTTCGGTACTATACAGACGATTACTTCTGCCCACAGTTTGGTAAGCAGTTTAGTAGTGTGCCTGAAATATTAATGAGAGTATTGTGATGCCCAAAAGTTAGTGATCTGTATAAATTCGTATCTTTATGTTTAATCAACGTGTAACGTGTAACGGGACTTGAAACTGCAAAAAGTACCAGCACACCACCAACATCTTTTACCTTGTTTATCCACAATATCTCCTCTTTTGAAAGATGTTGTAGCTGTTGAGCTGTTCTTTTCTTCAGTGCCACTTCAGTGCTTATTGCATCCATGATTTATTAAAACAATAGCATGTGGCGACTGAACTTAAATAGCATAAGGATATGCTGAATTTATACAGACTACTGACTTTTGGGCCTCACAATACAAATCTTACTATTATCTTAGGCACACTCCTGATCTGTGTACCAAACTGTGGGTATGAGTAAATGACTATAACGTGCCGAATTGCCGGCGTCCGGACAAATGTTTCACCTGTCTTTTAAAGCCCTGGTGGTTATTGCGCATGCGCCAAATAATCGCGATTATATCGGAACGTGATCGCGACAGCCCTAGTTAGCGTCATGCTTTTACCTCCCCAGCGAGCCGTCACTGCAATTTGTGATGCACGACAAGCAACTTGCTGCTCACACCTCGAGCTGCGAGGGCGTGTTAAAGAGAAAAAAGCAACACATTCCCATGCCTGAGAGACTCTGATCATCTCACAGTCAGGGCTGGTCCCATCCTCCATGTCAGATAATAAGAAAAAGCCAGGGAGTCACGACACTGAATGTGCTGGTGGTGCAGAGTAACAAAGCAGTGGTGGTGTCTCTGCTGCCCCCTGCAGGAGGGAGTACTTACTTGAATTCTGCATCCTTGGGCAGAGGGCCAGATCCCATGACCTCTCATTGCTATATCTGTCTCTGAGCTGTCTGTCCAGTCCCCACCCTCCCCCACTCCCTGATAAGCCCATAATAAGAATTTCCTGTTTTCATTTCATAGTCCCTAAGCCTTAAATTTAGAAGAAAACATTTTGTTGTAGGAAGCAACTAAGGTCTTGTTCTTAATCGATGGGAATAAAAGCTTTGAAGGGATGCATCAGAAGTTATTTGACTGTCTCCACACCGTTCATTCAATTTACATTTAAAGGCTGTTTCTGTAGCTGGTGTTTGGTTCTGTGTGATGTGCTTGTTTCAGGTCCAGGTGAAGTTTAAATCAGCTTTGTTCAGTCGGGGCTGAAACGTACACGTCAGACAGCTGAACCAAAGGAATGAGTGTCGTGCCCCTTGCTGCTGTCACCCTTAATGCATCATCACATGTCATGACTCCTTGTATCTCCTCTTGTGTCAGACAAGCATGAACCCCCACGTCCTCCATCTGAATGCCAGCGCACGCCTCTCACGCTCTCCCTAGAGGCTGTACCCGTAACCCTGCTGCCAGCCCCGCCCCTCAGCCCACCCCCACCCCTCCCTGCTCCATGTGACTCCGGTGGCGAGACCAACCCCAGGGCGCCCCCCGATGGATCACAGTAGTAGCGAGCTGGATCACGAGGAGCCGGATCCAGGAGGAGCGCGGCGCGCGGCGGCGGCGGCGGGCCGGAGGGCGTCGGCTCCCGAGTCCCGGGTGACGCACGGCGCCCTGGGGAATGTCAGTGGGCTGGGCCTCAGCTTCAAGCAGCTCTTCCAGCTGCAGCGGCGCCGCCCCTCCGCCACGCCCCTCGGCTCAGAGCCCCCTGAGCCGGATTCGTTTCTCGGGGAGCCGCCCCCGGGCCCGGCTGACACTGACCCCCCCGCCCCCTCCGCAGCTCTGAGCCGCGTGCTGCAGCAGATCCGTGGGCCCCCCGGCATGAAGCGAGGGAGCAGCCTGCAGAACCGCCGCAGCAAGCCTGCCTCTGTCGAGGCGCCCAGATGCAGCCCCCAAACCCCTCGCCGCAGCCAGCAGGAGGCGCTGCTGCTGGCCGGCCGACCTCGCTCCTCCTCCACCACAGAGACGCCCAGCAGCCCTGGTCCGGCCCCCGCCGAGTCGCCACCGGGCGGGGGCCACGCTGGGGCCGAAGACGCCGAGCGGGTGAGTGCTTGCCTTTCCGCCGCCTCTGTCCACGCGTGATGCCGGTGTCTGACGCGATCTTGACACGCCACAGTCATGCTGATCTTTTTATTCATCTCCCATTACCTTTCTGGAGCGTCACGTTCTGCCTCTCAGCTAGCCGACGGTGTGGCCCCACCCACTGGTGTGTCTGTTTTGCATCAGCTGACCCAGACTCCTCCCAGTAACCCGCATTCCAGTGCAGCCGGGCCTGCGGCTTTGTGGCAGGGCTACACACTTTGAGTCAGCTGTGATTGCGCAGTGGGCGACTCTGCCAGTGTGTGTCTGCCAGTGTCTTTATCGTTACCGTGGTGTCCTGGCACGCCCGCCGTAAGCGTAGACGGCAGTGTGTCGTGTGCTCGCCTGCCTGCGCTCCCCTCCAGCTGGCACCCGCGTGGTGGTGGGCACGTCTGATCGTCGTGGGGCATGTGACGGAAACGTGCTGCCCCCTGGGGGCAGATGGGTGCGGTCTTCACTCGTGCCCCCACAGCCCAGGGAGCACCGTGCCTTTCAGGAAACCAGCTCGTGTGCGTGTATGTGACTCCTGTAAGTAAAGGAAAGCCGGTACGTGGCCTGGTCCTGGTCCTGGTCCTGGTCCTGGCCCTGGCCCATTCGGTCCATGGCGCCCCCTGTCTCTGACAGTGCTCGTGTTTCTGTAGATTGCTGCTTGGTTCCCCCCCAACTGGACTAATGGTGTGAATAGGGCCATTCTCAGCCTGACCCGCATCTGGGCTGAATAGCGATGGTCTCCCTCTACAAAGCGCCTCTGTGAACAGCTCTCACCCTCTCTTTCTCTTTCTCCCTCTCTTTCTCTCCCCCTCCCTCTTTCGCTCTCATGCTGTCTCTCTCTCTCTCTCTCTCTCTCCCCACTCCCCTTTCGCTCTCTCCCCCTCTCGCTCTCCCTCCCCCTGCTACATAGTGGTTGGCACTGCCCCTGGTCAGTCCCCGTGTCCCCATTCTCACCGAGACCCCGCTGCTGGCGTCGGTGCCCGACATGGGCCGGGCGCTGCGGTGCGGTGCGGTGCCGGGCTGTGCCGTGCCGGGCCGGGCGGTGCCGTGCCGGG